CTCCGAGAAACGCTCCGTGACAGCTTCCACCGCGTTCCCAAAGAGACCGGCTGGGGTGATGGGAGCATTAAGCAGGGTTTTCCAGTCGGAATCCTTGACATCGGAGAGTGTCAGCCACAGGTGCCTGTGGAGGACGACCAGAAACCCCATGGAGCGATCGATGGCTTGCGCTGAGCGTTTAGTGGCCATCAGTGCAAGGTCCGTAGCTGAGCGGAGATCCTGATGACGTCAGCGTCAACAGAGGCAACGCCATCCAGGGACTTAAGCAACTTTGCCTGGAACACCTGTAGAATGGCCATGGGGTGGAGAGCTGAAACTGCCTCTCCCGCCGCTCCGTACGCCTTATCTGCTTGGTGGGCCGTGAACCTGCAGGGCTTGGACGGCAGGCTGCGGTCCGCGCCCAGTGCAGACGTCGATGGGCACAGGTGAGTGGCGACGGTCTCCTCGACGGGGGGCATGCGCACGTAACCGTGGGCTACCGCCTCGTCTACATGTGCGAACAAGGACTGAGTGGCAGAGTGGGTGCGCGCCGACTGGGGCGCAGCCCACGCCTTAACCACGTGTTCGTGGACGTCCGGGAAAAACGGGGTTCCCCTCTTCGACGCGGCCTGGCGGCGGCTCGACTGAAGGAACCACGTGTCCAACTTGCTCTTAGCCGGCTCATCCGGTGGCTCCCACGAAAGGTCCAACTCGGCGACGGCCTTAGTAAGGACCCTAAAGAGCTCCTCCTGGAGGTCAGGGCTCCCTTGCTCGGGAGGTGCGGCCTGCTGGGATCCCCAGTCCTTCTCCGACGCTGAGAGTGACATGGCGTCCTCCTCCTCGCTAGCTCCAAAGGAGATGAAATCCGCGACGTCGCGGGGGGGGCGGAAGCTAGCGTCCGAGAAGCTGACGGCGTCGAGCTCCCTTTCCCTGGGGGTGGGTGGGCCCACCAGCGGCTCGCTGGCGGCAGTGGGCCCAATCCCTGCAGCTGCTCGAGCCGTTTCTCTCCTGGCCTTAAGGGCGCGCACTGGCATGTCCGCGCAGTGGGCGCACACGAGGTCGTCCGACAGGGCCGTCTCGGCGTGGGCCAGGCCCATGCAGGCAACGCAGAACAGATGGGTGTCGGGCGCCACGATAGGCCCCGAGCACAAGTTACAGATGGATGCCATCGGATGCCAAAGACAGTTTTGGTATCTTCAGATGCACCTTCAACGATGGCGAGATTTGTAGAATATCTTCCAATTCGAAGCACACGTCGATTTGAGCGTGAAGAAAAGGATTCTGATGCAATTGACGTGCGTATGCATTTATACTGCCAGCAGGCGTGTCAGTATTTGCATATTTTGCGTCAATTGGCCAGCTGTCTCCAGCTGGCGTTAGCCCATAAGATTTCAGCAGAAGTGAAGAAGGGGAGGAGTTCCCATACTACGTCATCGACGTAAATGTCGAAGTGACCGCCTTGAAAGGGAACCTGTAAATCACCCTTATTACGAGTTGGGGTGGTTACAGTAACAGATCACTGAAATATTGAGATTCCAATCTCAGTCGGAGCGGGATACATAGTCAGGTGTTGAATTCTTTCCATTAGATGGAAATACACACACAGTAATAACGGGACTCTTTGAATTGATTTTGTTCAATGTGGATGCAGAACAACACAGGGGAGTAGAGAGAGGGGGGAAAAACATTTATTTAGTTATTTTTACAATCCCTAGGAAACATTTCTCTATACTTGGGTCACTTTTTCAAAACCTTTCACATGAGCACAACATCAGTCTATGTGAGTTAAACTGGGGATCATTAATCAATGCTTTGGCACAAAAGGTATTCAATGACTACATCTTTCAAATTACATCAGTTTACATCACCAAAACTCTAGGCCAATTTGTAAGTGAATTATAAATATCAGAGACTGAGAGTGTCATTCTTGCTTCGTAAAGAGACTTTACAAAAGAAAACATAGTGTAATGCTACCCATTGTTAGTATTTTCTTATGTCATTGTTTTATGAGGGTCAAAGTGTGTTTGTTCGTTGTCAACCTTTGTTAATGTTCTGGAAGAATGATTTGAGACCCGGATGAATTGTTTTGTCAGCTTTTGTGCATTTTGAATGTGATATTAACTGCAGTGCCAAGCTGATTATGAGAACTGTTAAGGGTTTTGAAAAAGTGTATTGAAAAAGGTGTCCTATAGCGATTGTAAAAAACAGTAATATTTGGACAAGGGAGAGGAATAGCTGAGGGAGGAGAGGAGTAGTTCAGGACAAGGGAGGAGAAGAGGTAGGGGAGAGGAGTAAGAATTTGTGAGATTCTGCGTATTTATGTTGTTTTATGTATATTGTCAACAAAATGCACACATTCAACACAACCAAGAATGGTTGAAAGTATAAGGAAAGTGAATTATAAAAAACAATGGATTTTATATTGCCTGTATGCAGAGAGAACTGAAACATGACAAGTAATGCAGTTTTTGTAATGCTATCAACTGTTAGTAATTTGATATTTAGTGCTATTATTAACTATACAGTATGTCCCAGGTGGATAGAAAATGGTGTTTTAACAGAATTATTAGATACTGAATCAGGCTTGCTGTCTTTTGACAGAGTTGGCATTTAATGAACAAAATGTGGTTTTGGACAGAAAATTAACTATTTGACTATTTGTGGGATGCAGGTCTGTTGCTGTGTTAAGAATTTAGAAAAAGTACTAAACATTTGTGTGCAATTGTAAAAAAAAAAAAAAGAAGAAACAGTTTGAAATAACATTTCCAAGAATTGTTAGTCATAAACATGAACGTTTCACTTCAGCAGGTGTGAGGGTGAAAAGAGGAAGAAAGACAGACCCTGAATATAGACGCTCTCGAATCGACCTAATTCTGAAATTCCTTTGAGAGAACTTGGTCAAAGTAAACACCCAAAGTTTGCATAAAAGCAAAGAAAGATTAATTATTCGAATGTTTTTTTATTGCAACATTCCAAATTCTCAGCAGATGTTTCAAGCGGCATACTATTGGATGGACCACAAAATATAATTCAAGTAAATCTTAACTATTAGTTGTAATGTAGACTACACATAAAGAGGATGTTGTTACAATTAAAAACATTTACATTTTACAGTATTGCAAATTGTTTTGAATTGTTTAGCTCATCAAGCTTAATTGTAAGATATTGCGTGTAGATAAGTTTATGACAGTTTGGCTATTATTAAAACGTTTCCTTGAGCGCTCAGAAGTTTGCAGCTGCTACGTCTTTGGTGATTCTCAATCCCCAGAGACAAAATATTCAAATACATACAACAACCGAAACTGAGAGAAACATCTCCATTGCAATAGTACCCTGAACTAAAGCTTTTCTAGGAATATGTCATTGTGTGCAGTTTGAATCAGTCTTAATTTCAGAACAACTGAAAGAACAGAAATACATTTTCAAAACACATCTTTTGGATGTTCCAATGATGTTAGAAAGCTTTACTTTTTTAATCAGTTTGGTTTGGTTTAGTTAGATTTACTCTGATAATCAGTTCTTCTGAAATGTAGAGGGGTAAATGACATGACGTGTATAATATTGTATCCAAGTTTGAAATAATTTGATAAATGCATGGCATATATCACTTTATTCTATAAAACCAATTTAGTTTGAATACATTTTTAGTACATTTAAATAATACTTATTATGTTGTTTTGTTATCTTAAATCCCCAAAATGTCAAGTGGTGCAACTGTCTGAACAAATGAACTGTAATAAGGAGTCCACTGAAGGCAAGTTCCAGAACCCAAGTGCAGTTTCATTAATATCCAAAAACAAGATCAAACATAAAACAAAGGCAAGGCATGGCATGAAACTCAAAACAAAAACATGAACATATACATGGCGCTTACCACCAGTGGTTACACGAAACAATACTTTTCAAAGACACTTGGCAAACATGAGGGCTTAAATGCACACATGGACTAATGACTAAAGACACACCTGTGAACATGATAGACAACTAACCAATGAAAACATGACAACGCAGAACACATGGCAGGTTCACATGAGGGCCAGGGAATCACAGGACAAGACAGGAAACATCATGAACCAAAACCCAAAACTACCTGTGACATGAACAGAAGAAAAATGGTGTCTTAATAATAAAAAAATACAAACTAAATGCTATGGAATCATTTCAGGTTTGAAACCTTTCATATAAACACATTTTATAAATATCAGTAATTTTATTGTAAACCTGTAGAAATAATTGAAAAACTTTTGTCCAGCAATTAGTTTATTCTCAAATGTGAGGGTGGCACAACTGCAAACATGGCTCTTTGATTGTGAATTGATGAGGTAATAACAGTAAACATGATAATGCATCATCCAGAAATCCTAAACTGATCCTTGTGGCAGAGTGAAAAGATTTGTAGATCTCTCTTAAATACTGGTAAAAACTGCTGATTTCAAGTATGGGTAGGTTGGTACACTTTCCATGTCAGGTGGTACAACTATATTTGGTTATACCGCCTGACATAAAAATGTATTTATTTAAACACTTTGAAATGTTAGTTAAAAACTGAAACTTGTTTAAACACATTGTTCATGACTCAAACATATGCATTGCATCAGTTTTCGAAAAGTTTTTTGAAGCCATATTTGTCAATGACCCACATACCGGTATATATATTTGCCGTCTAAAGTCATAAAAAAATTTTTTTTTAACAAATTAAATAATTAAATTAAATGATTAAATTGATTTATGATTTAAACTTGATTAACTTAAATGATTTTTTACTGGAGTATGATTTTCAAGAAAATACTATTTCAGTCTTTCTACTTTAACATTTCAGTGTGTGACTTGCCCTTTATTGCAATAACATCAATTTGGCAATTTCACCATTTTTTTCAGTGTATGTATAAGTAATACTCACACATTTTATGTTCTGAAGGACCTATCCCTGTAACATCTACTGAAACGGCAAGATAATGTCTCTTGCCACATAAAAATATTTGAAGGAAAATAATCTAGATAACCTGAAAGAATAGACACAATAAGACTTTACTGATGAGTGTGAAGACTGATTACATATTTGTCAATGTCTTTAAAAAATGTGAATAGAGGCAAATTATGTAGATTCAACATCAGAATAAGAAACCTTGGAGTCTTCAGAAGTTCTTTTTAAAAATCATCAGTGCTTCATCTGGAAAAAGTCAATAAGATCAATAATAAAAACCCATTTTAGTTACATAATGCAATCCAAAGTGAAAGTGTAACAGTATCTTATGTATCATCTTCTTAAAAATGCTCTGCAGTCAATTTAGTTATGTTTGGGTTACCTTGAAAAGACTAAGTACAGCGCTGTATGTCAGAGAAAAGAGGAATAGGAAGATGAAGGAAGTGGCAGTGGACCAGAGACTTCTGAACTCATCCTCCTCCAGAACATCTTTATTACAATTCAGAGCAAAGCCCTTCTCCGGCTCAGGTGGCTCCCCTGGAAAAGAAAACACATGCTAATGGGACATATGAACAGGATAAGCACATTGTCCAATACATATATGCAGACATAAATCACACATCCTGAATTTAAAGTCCAATGACTCTTACTAGGCTTCTAGTTACTGTATAATTAAGCACATGGCGGCCACATGTACTGCCAGCATGTACTCACATACATTCATATGCACACACTGCTAAATGTACACAGAAGTGACAAACATATAACATTGTCCTGTCTCTTACTCGTTGTTTCTGCATTTTACCATGCAATTTATAAAAATATGCTCAATCATCTCAGACATTAACTAATACTGACATACTAATACAAGTACACATAAAATATTGCAACATCCTTAAAACAAAACATGCCTTATTGATTATAAATGTCAATATTTACTGGTGACTTTGGTGGTCACCATAAGTGGCTTTACTATGTGCAGAGTCACAAAAATATTCTAATTTCTTTAAAAATACTGATGAAACAGGGACAGAATGTAAAGCATACAAAGTTTCTGATTATAAGAACCAAATGAGAGCTGGACTAAATCATGCAAAGTTGCAAACACAAAGATTTATTGCTTACAATTGTAAAACAACAAATGTCAAACCAAAATGAAATATTTTTGATTTGAAACATAGAACATGAAACTGTTACATCAGAGGACATGGAAAGGCTCCAGCGGTACAGTAAGCACAGGACAAAACATAAATGCGCAATTTTAACAAAAACATTACACTCACGCAGGTCAGAACAAATTTTTGCTCTTGAAAACTTTTTTTTTTTTCACACTATGATGTTATGATGACTATAGTTTCTGTTCATATTTATTTTCATGCAATAACAAATCAAGCATAGTTTTGAGTGAATTTGGCTTGGAAGTTTGACCCATGCAGTAAAGTGATACAAGCAGAACAATGACCAATGAACAAAAACATCAAAGACAGATAATCTGACAAGTGAGCAACAGGGAGCATAAGCACTGGAAAATGTACAAACGAACAGATACAAGTTAGCATTTGATCATGGCCACAAACTGGACATTCTGTGTTTACTTTTGCTGGTTGACACTTGTAATGGAGATCCTTCATCGTCCATGTTGGCGTGTTTGACGGCACAGGTGATGGTGGTTAGAGGATCATACTTTTGTTTTGACACTGTTAGGATGCTGAGAACAGACGTGGAGCTCTTTTGATGAATAGGAACACTGGTGCTGGCCTCTATGTAAGGCTCTTCGCCCACTTTCCACATGATATAGACATCACCCAGTGTATGGCTTGTGACCTCACACACCAGAGAGACACTGTCGCTGACACTGTTGCTAGTATCAGGTCTGTAAATGGTAACAGTGGGTTTCTGTCCATCTTAAAGGAAGTGATAAAGGTTCATTAAACAAACAGAAGAATCAAACAATAATGAATAACAATAGTGTATCAAGACAGTCTAAGCTTTTTGACAGCTAAACCATTTCAAATGGGCTTGCCATTTTTGCCAGATAATTTGTTGTATTACATAAAAATAAAAAAAAGTATTTAATAAAAGTTTAATTGCATCTATAAATGCACATACACCCACAAAGTCAATTATTTGGAAGTAACATTGACTTACCTCCTTTATCAAAATGGATCCCCTGCTTGATGTCTCTCTTATTATTTGCGTCACGGATGGTGCAGGTGACCTTTTCACCATCAAACCATGTCTTTTTATCAATGGTGACATTGTGGATTCTTGTCTGCAAGTTTGAAGTGTCAGTAAAGACATTTCCTGGTCTGATATTCTCACTTTTTACAGGTTCATTCTTCACTGTGCATGACACTGAAGCTTCTTGCACTGTATTTTGTACATCTCCAGAAACAACAGCTTCCAAGACAACTTTATCATTGACAAATAGTTCTCTCTCAATGGGTGGATTCAGCGTCAGTGTGAATTTACAAGCTACAAGGGAGTAAGAAAGTATATGACTTCATGTGTACATTTGGATTTATGTGTATATCTGTGAATTGAAATTAGTTTGAAGGAGTGTAGCCTTGTGAATTTGAAATAGAAGTGAGAGCGTGAACTAGCAAACCAACATTAAATGATTTACCTTTAAAGTTCTTCTTCTCAATAATCGTTTTTCCCTGATGTGTGACCTCACAGGAATAGGAATTATTTGCATTCCATGTATTACTGCTGACTTCATAAAAACTGTATGCTGTGTAAAGACCTGTATCTTCATTTAGTTTGCTTTCCAGTTTTAGGCTCGTGCTGTTATTATTTACTTTCCATTGTCCAGTGAGATTCTTGGGGTAGAAATCCTCAATAACACACATGACAGATGTACTTTTTGGAGTTGTAACAGGAACCAAGCTCAGGGTTGGTGTTTGTGGTTTCACTACAAATAAAACAAGGTTTATGCACAATGAAACTGAGGACATCTGACATTTTGCAATCTTAAAATTTCTCTAATTTTACCACAACAGTTTAGTTAAATATCCATCTTGTTAATGTCTGTTGTTACCTGTTATGAATGCTTCACTGACAGTTTTTGATTGGTGTACTGCAGTACACATAGTTTTACTTTGATTCAATTTCGCTTTATTAATAGTTATGTGGCTGACTTTCAACATCTTGTCTCCAGTTGTTATAGGGTACTGGATGAAATCAGTCAAGGCATTTCCCTTGTCCATCCATTTGAAACTGACAGATTTTCAAATAGTGCAACATGCTTTATTAAGCAAAGCACATAGATGCTCTTAGCTGAGTTTGAACGTCAATGTCAAATGTTGTAGCCTATATTTATACATACATATGTATATATATATATATATATATATGTGTGTGTGTGTGTGTAATTTACATATGTACATGTGTAATTTATATATATATAATAATAAGAAATATCATATGCCATTGTATTCCCTGGCATGAGGTCAGAGAAAAAGTATTTCTGAAAGCCTATGCATATTATGTGCTTTTCTGTTCTTACATTTTTTTAGACCTATGTAGCCTTGTTGTTCTCAGCTAGTGTAAACATTCACAGTCAGACTTTGATTAAGGACAACTGCTTGACATGCACAAAAATATAACAGCAGGTTAATTGGCATTAAATCATTTAATCAATGATCTGACAAAACTAAAAGAGTGTAAAAAAATGTCTATTCAAACATGACCCTCCAAAAAGAAACATCATCCCAACAGCAATATACAAGACCCAACAGCAATTAGAGAAACACGTGAAGTAGCTAAAATGTAAAATGTTAGACATTTTAGAGATGTGACTTACCTGTTCGAAATACTTTAGTTGTTAAAGTGCCTTTTGAATTTGAAGCTTCACATATGTAAGGGTTTTGAGGATTCCAGACGCTTTTTTTCACACGCAGATGGCTGATTTTGGTATAGTCTCCGTCACTCCCAAACGCTGGATACTGCACGAAAGTATCCAGATCTTTATCACCAGGAGCCTTCCACTTGAAAGTGAGTGAGTCCGCAGGGGAGAAACCTCTGGTCAAGCAGCCGACGGCGAGGAACCCACTAGAATCAGCAGAACACTGAGACAGGGCGAAGATGGACTTCCGGCGCCGATGGTTGAGCTGTAGAGACATCACATCTTTCTCAGACAATATATAAACAACAACATATAACGTAACATACTGTACATGTGCAACACTATTAGGCCATGCCAAATGAACGAACAAACCAATGAATGAATGAATGAATAAAAAAATAAAAAATAAATTGATTGAGATTACACCGCTATCTTCGGTTTGCATCAGAGTCCTGCCATGTTGATAAACTGAGACTAGGCTATCTTGCAAGTAAGTCATCTTTTCTTCTTCTTCAAGACAACTTTTTAAAGCAAGTTACTTTAACAAGTAAACTGGTCTAATTTGAATCGGTCACGTAAAACATAAAATCTCACGAATTAGCGGAAACATTTTAAGGTTCCAAAAGGGAGTTTTTACAGCAATACCCTTGATAAATAACTATTTTGGGTTCCTCAAAGAACCTTAGTGAACAGTTCTTAAAAGAAACATTTATTTTCTTAGTGTGAAGAATATTTTAATAATCTAAAAAATCTTTTGTGCAATGGAAAGGTTCCATGGATGTTAAAGTTTATTCATCAATGTCATTTAAAGCTCCTGTAGGTAACTTTTGAAAACATGTATTTGCTAAAACTGTCATTATGTCCTGACAGTAGAATATGAGACAGATAATCTGTGTAAAAATTAAGCTCCTCTGGCTCTTCTCAGTGGTCCTATTGCCATTTGCAGAAATACACGCTCCCGGTCAGAAACAACCAATCAGAGCCAGGAGGAGTGTCTTAGCAGTGTCAATCACGCTCGTGTATGCGCTGATCACACCCCTCTCTTGCACAGCGCGAGCGCCGGAGCGCGAGCCGTCGTTCAAACTCAAGATTGCCGGCGAGCTGCAGCTGTGCTTATGACGGAGAAACAACCTAAACTGCCGATTCTCGAGTGACACCTGCTCATAAAACAAAGAGGTAAAAGGAAAAAGACTGATGACGATAAACAAGCGAAAAAGAAAGAATTACACAGAGCCCATTGACTCGGTGTCAAAACTCTAGCCGCATAACATGTAGATGAAATGTCACACACTCTGCTAAGCAACAATTGAAACCTGCTAATTCACTGGCTTGTCATGTTGCTGAAATAATGTACTAGCACACCTTATCTAGCATTATATATCGCTAGAATAATTACTTACATACTGTAGCGTTAGTTACCGTTATATTAACGTTATCTTACTAGCTATTTATAACTTATAGAAAGAGTGCAACGTTATAAAGTTACATGTAGGCTATTGGAAAATACATAATGATTTGAGGACCAAGTTTGTAGTCAAAGTATGGGCAGGCCATAGTCAATGTAAAGCATATTGTTGACGTTTAGTTCCTATTAGTGAATGTGCCATATAACTTTTTATCCACCGTCATCGGTGGGCCTGTTTACTAGCCTGCGCGTTCACGACGGGCTCCGCTGTGGAGGACGAGCTGTGGAGGGACGAGCTGTGGAGGGCGAGCTGTGGAGGGCGAGCTGTGGAGGACGAGCTGTGGAGGACGAGCTGTGGAGGACGAGCTGAGGAGGACGAGCTGTGGAGGACGAGCTATGGAGGGCGAGCTGTGGAGGACGAGCTGTGGAGGGCGAGCTGTGGAGGACGAGCTGTGGAGGACGAGCTGTGGAGGACGAGCTGTGGAGGGCGAGCTGTGGAGGACGAGCTGTGGAGGAGGAGCTGTGGAGGACGAGCTGTGGAGGGACGAGCTGTGGAGGACGAGCTGAGGAGGACGAGCTGTGGAGGACGAGCTGTGGAGGACGAGCTGTGGAGGACGAGCTGTGGAGGACGAGCTGTGGAGGACGAGCTGTGGAGGACGAGCTGAGGAGGACGAGCTGTGGAGGACGAGCTGTGGAGGACGAGCTGTGGAGGACGAGCTGTGGAGGAGGAGCTGTGGAGGACGAGCTGAGGAGGGAGGAGCTGTGGAGGGAGGAGCTGTGGAGGACGAGCTGAGGAGGACGAGCTGAGGAGGACGAGCTGTGGAGGACGAGCTGTGGAGGACGAGCTGTGGAGGACGAGCTGTGGAGGAGGAGCTGTGGAGGACGAGCTGTGGAGGACGAGCTGTGGAGGACGAGCTGTGGAGGAGGAGCTGTGGAGGAGGAGCTGTGGAGGACGAGCTGTGGAGGAGGAGCTGTGGAGGAGGAGCTGTGGAGGGAGGAGCTGTGGAGGACGAGCTGTGGAGGGAGGAGCTGTGGAGGACGAGCTGTGGAGGAGGAGCTGTGGAGGGAGGAGCTGTGGAGGACGAGCTGTGGAGGATGAGCTGTGGAGGACGAGCTGTGGAGGACGAGCTGAGGAGGACGAGCTGTGGAGGACGAGCTGTGGAGGACGAGCTGTGGAGGACGAGCTGAGGAGGACGAGCTGTGGAGGACGAGCTGTGGAGGACGAGCTGTGGAGGACGAGCTGTGGAGGACGAGCTGTGGAGGGTGGAGGACGAGCTGTGGAGGACGAGCTGTGGAGGACGAGCTGTGGAGGACGAGCTGTGAGCTGTGGAGGACGAGCTGTGGAGGACGAGCTGTGGAGGGTGGAGGACGAGCTGTGGAGGACGAGCTGTGGAGGACGAGCTGTGGAGGACGAGCTGTGAGCTGTGGAGGACGAGCTGTGGAGGACGAGCTGTGGAGGACGAGCTGTGGAGGACGAGCTGTGGAGGACGAGCTGTGGAGGACGAGCTGTGGAGGGTGGAGGACGAGCTGTGGAGGACGAGCTGTGGAGGACGAGCTGTGGAGGACGAGCTGTGGAGGAGGAGCTGTGGAGGACGAGCTGTGGGGGACGAGCTGTGGAGGACGAGCTGTGGAGGACGAGCTGTGGAGGACGAGCTGTGGAGGAGGAGCTGTGGAGGACGAGCTGTGGAGGACGAGCTGTGGAGGAGGAGCTGTGGAGGACGAGCTGTGGAGGACGAGCTGTGGAGGAGGAGCTGTGGAGGAGGAGCTGTGGAGGACGAGCTGTGGAGGAGGAGCTGTGGAGGACGAGCTGTGGAGGACGAGCTGTGGAGGACGAGCTGTGGAGGACGAGCTGTGGAGGGAGGGCTGGAGCGCAGCAGAGAGCAAGGGGGTGGGACCTGGAAGTTGTGCTTGTTCAAATTTTCAGGCTAAGTCAACGTTTTCTCAAAACTCCCTACTGCAGCTTTAAGAACCTTTATTTTGAACAATGTAGATGCTATATGTCATATAGCATATTTATAGTCATATTTATTATCAGACATATAATAAATACTAAAGGATTATCTAAACGAATAATAATTTATTAGGCCACAGAATAATGACTGCATAATGACTTTTCATTTTGATTCAAATGAAACAGTTATTGTAACTTATGGAGTGTAAATTAAAAAATAAATGAAATGAAAATTCCAACCTTTTGAGAATTTTAAATAAAAGCATAATACAGCAGTTTGTAACTTTGAACTAAAATCATATGAAAAAAAAAAAAACGACAAATTTATCATTAAAAAATAAATAGCCCAAAAAACCAAACACCCCCAGAACTTTTTTTTTCTTTTCTTTTCATTGTGCTTGAAATAATTTCTTGAATATCAGTTGTTCCACAAAAAACATTCTTTTAAATCTCCAATTGTCATCTTCATGCATTGACAGATGCCTTTGTAAATCAGTAAGCTATGCCAGTTTATTATTATTATTATTATTTAATAGTATCGGTATGCAATCAACAATTTAGAATATAACACATTATATTAGTGGATAGCAGTGCATAAATTTAAAACGACCCAGAGACGTTACAGTTTAGTTAGGCTTTTTAGTCTTTGCTCTGGCTGTTTTCAGCGTCTAATATTTGAGCAGTTTAAGGCAACACATGTGAGAATAATGTACAACGAAATGAGTCGTTTAAAAATACTGTTGTATTTTTGTTCGTTTTAAACAGATGAAAATTTTTTATAAAAGTATGTAGTCTTTTAGTGAAATGGACAACAGCTAAATTAAGACAGTTTCCAATAGAAACTCTAACTCTTTTAAAGATAGGCTATAATAATAATAATAAAAAATTATAATCTGCAAGCCACATTGAGAAATGTTATGTACAAATTTATATGTCGGCTGAATAACTCAGAGAATTATATAATTGTGGCATTGACCAATATCAAGTTTAGCACTACACGGTATAAGTCCAAGTTATGGAAGCATTGGTATAGTTGTCTCCTCTGAAGTTGTATTTGTTTTTTATTATATTGTATTGTGTGTACTGTCTTGTTTGTTTTATCTGGACCGGTGAGTCTGTAATAAAGTTTTATTATTATTATTATTATATAATAATAAAACACACGTGAAATTTTGTCTTTTTTAACGATACAAATGTCCTTGAAATTAATCATAAAATCTTACTGTTTGTTACGGTGACTTTGGTGCCGCTTCCCCAGTAGTCGAAAGCCCAGTTACACAATATCCTTTTAATGTTACAGTGCAGTATAAAAATACAACGCTCCGAGTTTGTTGAACGACCTAGCCAATCCCTCGTTTTATTTAAATGCGCAAATAAAATTATTTAGAATTGAATTATTCATAATCTGAATCTTTGCGTTTCTAGCAAATTACTTTAGACTAATGTCCTGACTTTAATTGTTCTAATCGCATAACAAGAAAAACTCGACATTGAACTGTTGCTTTAATGTTTAATCTAAAAAAAACATTTTTTTTTTTTCGACAAAATAACTGCGCACACATTTATCGTATTAGATCAGATTTTGATTTGTTAGGTGGGTATTTTTCTTACCTGACGAGACAGTGATCAAGGTTCCTTTTCCCCAGTAGTCAAAAGCAATTGTCACACTGACACTTTACCCGGGGATATTGTACAAAAATAGCAGCTATGTCATATGTAACCCCCATTTATTATTATATAACCCAGATATTGGACTATTTAGACTTATATTTAACCTTATATAGCCAAAACGGACTAGAAAGGGAAATTTACCTTTAGCCTTATATTTAAAAACTTGCCAACGTTATTGAGAGGATTAACTGAAATGTAACATCTTACCAGATGTCACTGTGACAGATGTGCCTTTCCC